ATAATACAGAAACGATAAGCATATGCATGCATACATGTACATGCAATAGTAGCAATAATAAATAATAATACTAATGTTCTGACAAAGTTCATTCATTCTGAGCAAAATTACATTTTCTGATCTACTGTAATTACAACTCAATGAACGTAATCAAAACTACTTAATTATAATTGAAGTTGTAAAGCTAAGTAGTTAGTTATTTTGTGAATTTGTCTGACCTATACCAAATATATATACATATATAGTTAGTTTTTTTTATATACATTTTTATATACATTTATTTTATATACATTTTTATGTACAAATCTTGAAGTTTTTATAGTTCGATCAAGCGCATATTTTGGTTGAGAGTTTGCTGAATTAAATAATAAAATTCTACAAAATCTTAAGCATCTTTCAAACATAAATTAGAATTTATATTTTGTTATAACTCGTATTTATATAACTAGGACTCGTTAATGAGCAAGGTATAAAATAAGTTTGTTGTAACTAATAATTTTTTTATTTATTTAAAGATAGATAAGAATCTAAAGATAGACACGCGTCTCTTTGAGAAATGATGAGAAATAAAGATACGCGCGTCTCTTTGAAAGATGATGAGAAATCAAATTTCTCATATTATTTTTCTTGCTCTAATGCTGAACGAAAAATATAATTTGTCGAGATGTTATTAAGATGAAACAAAACAAAAGCTTTATCACAGTCACACAGTGATTATATGTTGCAGAGATTTCACGTGCCGTATAATAATTTTATGTACTCATGTTGTAACCGAGTACGGTATTCAAATTTTACAAGGTGCTTCGTTTCGAAAATTTATTATTTTCGGCGAACGCATAAATTCCACACACTGGAAGCGATGCATCATAAAATATAAGTTCCATTCAATGCGCGTTGTACGAACCATGTGCATGAAAGAGATTACTAAACTGCAATTAAAAATCATGGCTATTTACTCTCCCTCTCTCTCTCTCTCTCTCTTTCATCACTCTTTGTAATTTTAATGGAAATAATACCTATATTTATATATTGTGAGAAATAAAATATTGAATTTTATTTGTTTGTAATTTTTATCTCTCTCTTATTTCTCATCAAACTCTGTTGTTTAATAATAAAATAACAACAATGCGCGTTCAATAATCTATTGTAGTTATAATGCGCAAAACAAAACATTTATAAAGTTTATGTAAAAGTTATAGAAAAAAAAAAAACGTCGATGTACGGTAACAAATATTTGCACGTTTACACATTTACGAAAAAATTAATGATTTACACGTTTGCAGTTTATACTCGTAATCATTTAATACTTTCGTAAGTCTCATTATCTATCAAGCGAAAACATTAACCAAGATGTTTGAGAGTCACGTATGTGTGTATGTGTACGTGTGTGTGCAGAAAGATACACATCTCTTTGTAAGCAAAAGGCAAGCACATGTGAATTTAATGTCTTTTATATCGAGTAATATTTTTATAGTCTCAAGAGAAAAGAGGGGGAAGATATATAACCACACACATGGAATCTCTTTTCATTTAGATACTTTTGCGACGATATCATTGCCTTATATTTCCAAAGTATTAATATAGAAGAGCGTCATTTCTCTCTGCTATTCGCGCGCGACGCGATGCGATATTGCTTTTACCGAGCGTCATCCATAAACTCTTGCAGTTAAACATGAACTGCTAAACTATTCCATTCTGACGATTAATAATCAGGCATCGTGTTTGCGCGAAATGTTCTCGCGCTAATGCTGACGTACGAAGCGCCGTGATGTCAGTTGAATCGATTCCTGTTTTATCCGAGAGAAATATTTCTCTCGCCCACGAGATGCGAGCTGGAAAAGTTGCCAACTTTATGATCAAATTACCATGCGGATATCTATCGAAATAACTTGTGCCGAACTTTGCTCTCTCGCCACAAAGATTATTACCGGTATTGATACGAAAGGTGTGAGAAAGATTACACTTTTTATTCGATTAGCGTTTTCTTGCATTTTATATATATATGCAAGATCTACTAAAACTTTTGCGATATATTACATCTTACGTTATGAAATTGTTACGTTTTAATTGAAAATGATGACGTAGTTACTTATAGTCGTTTTAATTAAAACTAACAGTAAAATTCATAAATATTCAATAAATTTACGTTGCGTTTTGACGGTCGACGAAAAGTAAACCAATTGAATAAAATCGACAATTTACGAATTAAAAAAACGAAAACATGTTGAGAGAATGGCGTGAAATTAAATATTGATCGATAATAATGAATAAATATTGCACGTTGATATATTGTCGAGTAAAATGCAATAGATCAAAGATGCATGGAATATTCTCCCCCCCCTTTCTCTCTCTCTCTCTCTCTCTCTCTCTCTTCAATAATAATTTTTCGTTCTTAAAATAATCCGCACATGTTGATGCATAGCAAGGAACGAAGGAATTTGTTAACCGACTGAATGATATATCATATGCTTTAGATCTCTTCTCAGCACGTTCTACTCATATTCGAAGCCAAGCCTGAACTTGTCTCATTGTCAGTTGAGTTGGTTAAAATTAAATAGACAATGACTCATCGTCGCGTCGCGTTAAGTTTTCGCTATAATCTTATGAAAGCAGATCGGTTCGTCATTTACCTCACGCAAGAGCAAACACATTATCATCGCCGAAATGTGTCAATAAACTTTGCGAAAATTTTGAGAGAGAGAGAGAGAGAGAGAGAACTGTTTTTGATTGTCTTATCAATTATATAATATGTACTAGGTAATATAAATATTATATTGTATTATATATCAAAAGTGTAAATTCATATTAAATACAGCTGGAATTTCATTCGTGTTTTTATATGTTTCCAAAGATAGTCCGGATCGCGTTTCGCGTGTTTATCAGCATAAACGGATCGAGTTTTGCAATACCAACTCTCACAAATGTTTGCTATGTACGAAACTGATTTGCATAATTTGATACATATGTGGATGTAAATTTCGAGAGAAATGCTCTCGTGCTCTCTGATCAAATCATTGGTCATTAGTTACAACGTCAGTAACCAGTAATAGGTAATCCATAATCAGCCATTGTATTTACTTTCCCTAAAGTGGGTCATCATCCATTATATTTTCGCACTTCGGCCTCTCACGTTAAACGCCATTAACAGTCAAAACAGCAAATGATTGTTGGCATTTCGAGTTTGCGACGGCGACGCGTATAGCGGTGCGAAAATAGCAATCTAGAGAGAAAAGTTGCGCGAAAATACCAATCTAGGATGAAAAGTTGTGTAAATTATCTTATTGGTATAAATTTTGTGTTGCACAACTGTTTTTACATAATCGGTGCTTACGCCGATCTGGTTTTTTGTATTGTAATAACGTCACGTACATTGTGAGAGAAACGTTAAAATTGCTATTTGTCGTTTCATAGCGCGTGTACTAGAGCGATGCGAAACACACCACAATTCCCATGATATAACTCGTCATCTTCGTACTTTACAGTTACAAGTTTGTGGCTCGCTAAAATATGTGTTTATGAAAAAATAAAAACGTCAATTACAGTGACTTGCCAATATTAAAGTTGGGTTACGTTTTTAGATGCAATATCGTGAGAATAGGTAAATTACGAGTCTCTCCGTTGCTCTGAGTTGCGCGCGCTATATATATCGAAGCAATCTCATCGGATAAATAGGTGTTTTTGCCACGATATCGCAAATTTCACATCACGAGGGTTAAATACATTTAATCGCGCAGTCAATACAATAATCTCGACGCTTTTTGCTTCTCTCTCTCTCTCTTTCTCTCTCTCTGAGGCTTCATTGCGGAATAATGAAGTCCTCCGTATCGCAAAACTCGTTTTTGCTCAAGGTCTGGTAGATTACTGTGGACTCGACGAGATACCGCTTCACGTCTTACTTCGGAGCGGGTAGGATAAGCGAAACTCACCCCATCTCAATGAAGAAGACTCTAAAACGTATGAACGTGAGAGGCGACTCCCTGGAGAACCACATCTTGGGCTCTAACTCGTTTCTGCGCTCCGACCGAGGATATACTTTTTCTTTATCATATATACAGAAAACGCATCGTGCCGAGTTCAGGCTTGGGACCTTAGCAAAAGTACCTGGATAAATCAGTTTTTCTCGAGCACTGAATTTTGCGGAAGCACAGAGATTGAGATTTACAATGTTGATTACGAGAGACACCCTCTGTTGTCGGCGGTGCGCTTTTTCAATCGGACGCTCGATCGAATTGTATCGAAAAAAATTACTGCAAATCTCTAATCACGCGCGTTATCTTCACGCAGTGAAAATATATTTTACGACGCACAGAAAAAAACATTAATGAAGTGAGAATTTGACGAAAAACAAAACGCTTATTCTCTTTTGAAAATTTGAAAAAAACGCAGACTCTCGGTGTATATATATAAATAATGATTTTTTTAAATAATTTTCAACACTTCAGAGATGTGTGTAAAATAAATATATAAACTTGCTAAATAAATATCTCAAGAGCTGAAACTTTGTTGAAATTTTAAAACATTTGCGAAGTAAAATTTAAAACTGCACGTTACTCGTCTTTCGAACGTAGTTTTTTTATCCGCCTCTCGTTATCACATTTTTTTATTTGATCCGTGAACTTTATTTTCCGTTAACATCTTTTTTCTCTCTCTCTCTCTCTCTCTTTCTCATGCATGATTGATGACGATGCCCCGCGTTGGATGCGCTCGTGGGTAGGTTAAAAGCGAGGGAGCAACCACCGAGGTCGAGATACGACCAACTTGACGCAGACCGAAAGAGTCGTAAGAGAGAGAGACAAGCGGAAGAACGCGCGACGAGAGGAACGTGAATCGCGATCCTCATATACACACGCACACACACACACACACAAACACTCACTCATAGAGCATGCCCGCGGCAGTAGGTAACGGGTGAAACACGACGACGCTCGCTTCTCCGCCAGCTGGGCTCGCAAGGGGGCTGCTCGCCGACGCTCTCTCAGTCCAACAGCACACGCGACCTCGCGCGGTTCACGCGGCCGACCCCTCGTGCTCGTTGCTCTTGTCGTGTCTGTTCTCTCGTGAACCGTCCCTTGCCCCTTCACGCGCTCCCTTCCTTCCTTCCTTCCTTCCTTCCTTCCTTCCTTCCTACCTCCGTCCATCCCTAGCAGGTTTATCCACTGACGAGCAGCGAAAATTGAGAGGCGGCGCAGAGTTGCGTCCGACCGGTGTGTGACTGACGGCGTCCGACGAAAATTCTCTCGGGTCCTGTCCAGGTTACATCTATCGACAAGTTGTTAACAAAGTCCCGGGTCAACGATTCTCTCTCTCTCTCTCTGTCTGCGGAGTATCTCTCTCTCTCGCGCGCGACGAAGGAAGAGAATTTAGTTAGTTAGTCCTCTAACTAGAGCGGGTTGCGCGCTGCAAGCCGCAGTGCCGCCTGTGTTATCCAGCGAATTTCCGCCGCGTGTACGCGCAGTGCAAGTGCAAAAGACTCATAGAGAAAAGGGTTCTTCAGGCAGTTCCACACGGTGAGCAGTTTTTACTTTGAGAAGCGGAGGAGTTTCGACTCGGATTGCGATTACTCGCACACGTTCGCAAGCGGATTTCTCTCGACATTGCGCTCGATTTGATTTTTCCGATCGAATCGCTTAATTATGAAGTTTCGCGCCACCGCGATTTCTCGACGCTTTTATCCCGTAGGGAAAAGGGCTTTCGCAACTTCGTGAGATTTTGCAATTAGCGGTGCACGTGACAATGGTTTCGCGGGGGCGAAACTTCATTAGATGTAATAAGACCTAATGAAGTTTTCCTCTTTTTTTTTTCTTTTTTTTTTTTTCATCTTTCAAATTCCGGAGGTCGAAAGGTTTGGTTTTTTTTCGTCGGAGCCGTTTGCGGAAATTTCTGATGGGATTTAACATTATCTCTCTGCAGGAAAGCAAAACTGCGACGTTTCTCAATATCACTGCTCTTCTCGTGCAATTTTTTTTTATTTATTGTGTGTTTATCGGAGCAAAATTATATCGAAATACATTTATAAAAAAAAAAAAAAGCAATTTAATATCCAATAAAATAGATCCTTGCGAACGTTGCGAGTATTTGTTGCGATAACATTTTCTCTTTATTATCTAATGCAAATTTCTTATATATAGTATTTATTACGCACGCTAAAAATATGTATATTAAACAAATTTTCTTTGAATAAATTTTCAGAGTATTTTTCCGATTATTATTATTATTTTAGTCTGATATCTGATGAATTTTTTAATTATACAAAAATAAACATCTATTTCTGTTGAACAAACAAAGTTTTGAAGATAAGAGATGATGATATCAGATACGAGATAACGGCGATAAAACAAACGTTATCGCAATTTTTCTCGTTTTGTCTCGGAGCACTTGGAGCTGTCAATAAATAAAACATTTGTAATTTTATCATTCGCAAATTTAACACATAGTTCGTTAAGTACTAATTCTCACCGTTTTCTTCTTCTCTCTCTCTATATGTGTCTCTTAAATATTCTCTTAACACGTTCGAGTCATTAAATTAGTAATTCCAAACCGCGTTAGAAAACTTTTGTACAAGTCGCCGCGTGAACTTCAAAACAAGAAAGTTTCCTTAGCAATCGCGAAACATTCCGCGACGCTTTAATCATTAAGAATCTCTCGGCTTATCTTGTTACAACGTTGTGTCGGCGTATAACGAGCGATCTCGTTGACGATCCTAAATTTGCTGTCTTCAACGTTACGCGACACAAGGTGAATTGCCAAATAGCTTCGACGATTCAAATTCTCGCGCTGCGAGATTTGCACGCAAATGATTCTCTCCGCGGCAGTATCAATTATCGCGAAACGCATAATTTTTGACGAAATTCTCGTTGGCCTTTCGAACACGCGCAAAATTGCGCAAATATCAAAGTTGATTCTGACATCTTGGTTCTCTCGTCGTCGACGTCATTCAAGCCGCGAAGACATTCAAGAGTTTTTACCTCACGAACGTGTGTGACGAGAAAAAAAAAAAAAATAAAACGACGTCATTAATAAGTAGCGGTGCACGCGATTACGATATAATCCTCTCTCGCTCGTGGTGCTATAACGACGTAATGAGATAATAACAGATGGCGATCGCGAGAGAAAACTGGATTTCTGCCACTTCTGCGCTCGGGATTTCCGCGCGAATCGGTCTGTTGAAATATATAAAGCGACGCCTTTCGCAAATCCGTCGATTAGCAGAGACAAAACTCGAAAACAAAACCGTAGTCCGTTTGTCGCGCGATACGCGATCTTTAATTATTCAGAGAGGAATATGTGTTTACTCGACAGAGATAAAACATCGCGTCGCTTCAGTTCTCGCGGCGCGCGTATCGCGACCGATTTTTTTCTTCTCTCTTCACCCGCGGCGACAAGGCGGCAGTAAAGCCCCAGAAGAAATAACCCGGGCTTTTTCTGTTTGCCTTTATCTCGTTGCCGTTCGCGCTGACAACTCGAGGGTCCCGTTGAAGGTATAAAAGAAACGTAACGCGCGACCTCGTGGCAATATAAACTCGTGGCGCACGATAATGAGAGCACATCTTGTTTCCGAAAGGGCTTTTAATCCACAACACAAAAGGGAACGACGAAATCTTGGTGCATGTGTTCGCGCCAACTGCGTATAAATATAACGTTAAGAAGCCGAGTCGTGAAAGAAATTGACTCTCCCTTTTTCTTCATACCGGTGCTCATTAAATCGAGGCTTTGTTAAATCCGTCGGAGTTCCACACGGTTTCGTCAGAGAGATTCTTCGTTTGGCCTTGATGTTGAAAAACAAAAAACAAAAAAAAAAAAAAAAGACGCTTGAACCCCCGGCGAGGAAGAAACTCGACGTTTCTGCGAGACCTCTTCGAATTCAAAATCAATAAATCCTTGCGGGTGACAGCTTAATACTGTGTGTCTTTGGGTCGAGATAATTTCAATAAGCTCCAATTAAATTTAATCTTCTCGCGACTCAACGATGTTGATAGAGTATTTTGCGTTTGATCATCGACGGGATCGGTGAGTGGTTTCTTCACTTCGCATTGAATTAAATCTTCTCCGATCCGCGCGCAGTTCTGACACACACACACACACAGCGCTCATTCGCGCAATTTGGTTTTACAATTCACATTTGATGAAATGAAAACAACCCGCGATAAATATTACTAACCAACAGCGCAATATTCCCATCATATGGTCGAAGAAAAATGTAATTTTTCATGTTTATAAATCTTTTAAATTTAATTAGCTGGCGCGAACGCGTCGAGCAAAAAGTTAATTAAAAAAAAATATATTATTATGTTATTATAATTACACACGTACATTTTGCGATGATTTATTTCGAACACCGGTAATTCAATATAGATTGAATAAAACAGTAATAATGTTTTTTTTTTTTTTTTTTACTATTTTTGTATATTTTACATAGAGTTTCGTTCCATTGTGTTTGCGATAAATCTATTGGCCATTCCCGTGGCCACAAAAAAAAAAAAAAGAACAGGCCATTTAAAAAGTTACCGAATGCGATGAGTTTGACCTTAATTCATCGCGACACGCAACGATGCGATACACGCATTATTATTCCGATAATACGCAGTCATTGCTCCTGAATGCTATTTTTAATCAAGATTATTCGACACTCCTGTCATCTCAAAATACTATATAGCAAGTAGATATATGTTAATCGATCTGTCTTTTGAAAGTTAATATTTTCTTCATTTTTGTACCGCCCACGTGTCGCACGGGAGTTAACGTAGCCGCGCAACCGCGGCAACTTCACGAGCTTTACCACCCTCGTGTCGAAGCAAATTTAATTTTGTCCGAAAAACGTAGCGGTCGCGCGCGCGCGCGCGCGCGCGCGTGATCGTGTGCCAGAACTAACTTTGTTTTTCGCCAGACCGCTGCTGTCGACATTGACACTCGGAACACAGCCGGTGCCGCTCTCTTCTCTCTCTGTCACGTGGCAGCGTAGACATGCATCAGCAGATGCACATCGCTCTCGACAAACGTCAGAATCGAAAAGTAGGCCGACGCTCGCCTGAGAAAAGCCGCATCTGTGCGACGAAAAAAAAAAAAAAAAACTGTAATATATATGTATATAGACGGGCACGTGGATTTTCTCAAAGCTGCTTTCGCAAAAGCGTGAAAACCGCGAAAACACATATTGTGACGCGCGTAACGCGCGTTCGTTTTTCTTGCGAAGGAATTTAATGATTCTCGACTCGGTCGGCAGACTTGGTCGCTCGATTGCTTTTCCGTGATCGTTTTTTTTTTTCGTGACATTGAACGATAGCCAGAATTGCGACCGGTGGACATGCGAAGTGTGTTTTAGGGGCAATATTACGTTCGATCGAATTTCTAAAGGTCTGTTTAAAAAAGAACGATTGTCGCACGACACAAACTCGCAACATTGAAGTCAAATCTCTCGCTTAATACTACGCGAATAATAAAAATGTCTGTTGATGAACCGATTTGTCAGTGTTTAGAAACACAAGAAGCGCCAAAATACACAATATTAGAAAATGGTAAAACAAAAAACCAAACTTCAAATAGAATCAAAATCGAGTTTCGAGAGAAATACTCGTATCGTGTTTTTATATTAAATTTCTTTCGAGCATATAAATGGTTTAATTAAATACAATATCTCTCTAGTGACTAGTAATTGCGTTCGGCGAAGACACACAAACTTTATATTCGATATATTTTTTTGTATTTCTATGAAAAAAAAAAAAAAGAGCATTTCATACGTGTGATATTTTTTGGGGAAAAAAATTGTCTTTATATATGAAAAATGTGAAAAGGCCTTATTCGTTTGCCGATGTAACCAATGTGACCCGCGGCAGTTCGAGAGATATATGGAAACGTAGTGGCATCGGGACGCGCGTATCTGCGACTTCACAAACTGCGCAGAAAGAGAAAGAGTACGATACGAGTTGATAGTTGGGCGTAACGGAATAAAGAAATTTTCCTATACTAACGACCTCTGCTACACTCGTTAATGGTAACAATTTATACGTAACAGTTACATTGTTCTTTGTACTAATTAATGAAAAATATATAACAATAGATATAATAAATGCATCGCTAAAAAAAAAAATATTTTACTTATCAATGAAAGAAATAAGTGGATGTCACATGTTACACATATATATTTTTAATTATTTCTTTATTATTTTAATTGAATTTCTCTATAAAGAACAGCGTTTTTAATGTCACACATTTATAAAATGTCGCACTTATAAAATTTTTTAAATTAACTTGCTTTATCAAGTTACAATATATTCGCGTAATAATAATCTGCTATGAAATTATTGTATTTTAAGTTGTGTTTTTTCTTTGAGCGAGCGTTTTTAATGAAATCTCTTGTCAGACGTGTTTCTATCTTAACCTTTGGAAAAGGTTAATAATGTTATTCCCAGACGTTTCTTTCGTCGCGACAGCGTAAATTTTAATCTCTTTGGGGATGGTGTGTGTGTGTGTGTGTGTGTGGTGTGTATGTTTCAGTATATTCTAGGACATC